AAACACACAAAAAAACCCTATGCGAATGTGTTGGTCTCATTAATACTGTATACTGCCAGATAGAAGTCAAGGGTATGTAGCACTTACATGTTTTGTTCCTGATCTATCATCTAGGATACAGGATCTCTTTCTCATGCAGATTGATAACCAAGGCAACTTTCATAGCCAGCATAAGCAGAAGTGGCTAACCTGGGTTTTGAAACTGAGTAGCTTGTTGAAATCCCATGGCCTTTGTAAAGAGACAAAAAGAAACAGCTTTATCAAAATTCAGACGCATGCTTTTAGGTTTAGGATAGATGTCTCACCACTTTGAATCCCTATCTTGAGAAAGATAGATGAAACATTGCTGCCACCTTGAGGCTGTTATTTTGTGTTTACATTGTGGAACTTTTAACTTGCCAGTATGCTACAGTTTAATATATTGACTCTGTTTTATAAAAGTTAATTATTGGGAGTGTGCAGTGTGCGTCAGTGAGCAGTTACAGCAGATGTTAGCCAAAGACACAGCCGGGGATGGGAATGGCTTTAAAGCACGATGTTTGACTGAGCCTTGTTCTCTGTAGCAGCAAACAAGGAATGGAGGGAGGACTGAGCATAGTGAGGACTTGCAGGAAGAGAGAGGTTGCGTAGTGAGGTCTTCTGCCATTGTTCGTTTTTATAACCTCAGGAGTGAAGGGTGCACAGAATTCCAGCGCAGACTAACGAGCATGCTGTTTGTATAGTTCCTGACTCTGGTCCTTGTTCTTTGCAAGTCTACAACCCTAGTTCCAACAAATCTGCAAAGCAAACTCAAAAAACCTGTTACGCCTGGTATATTGCACTTCTTAAAATCAGACTTCCCCCTGCCCCCAGTTTGATGAAGGTGTACATTCAAAAACTCTGAAGAACAGGAGGTGATAGTAAATGGAGATTTTCTGTAAGAGCACTTAAAAGTTTATACACTCAGGAGATACACAGGTTCAAAGAACAGAAAAGTTTCTCAGCATCTCATCTGCTCATGGGAGATCTTGTTTGAGTTGAAACCAAAGAAGATCTTGCATTTGCTTTCTCCAGTCTCTTTCCTACCTTTCTTCTCCCTAAAGTGAGGGGTAATCCAGTGTAAGTCTTTTCAGCTTTGTGGTTTTGTATTAAATTGAGGTTTCCATCACAAGAGGAGAGACTCGGAGCAATTACTAAATAAAGTTAATTCACTAAATTACATTGTCTGTTGTTTCAACCAAATCCAGTGATGGTGTCATTGATGGATTAGACTTCCTAAGCACAATGGCATGGAACTGGAATGCGCTGTTGAAAGCACCATCATTGGGTGAAATTTTAAATGTCCTTGCCTGATTTTCAATTTGAGTAGCTATTTCATATGCCTCTATGGGGGTTGAGAGGGGAGGGTCCTAACATTTATTGTTATTTTTTGTTGTAACTGACTATTGAAATGACCTCTTTTTATACCCCAGAAGAGTTCTAAAGTGTAGTTTTCATGAGCAGTTTCATAGCAGCAGTGAACTAAGTAGTGATTGCCCTCCTGCCTCTGGCAGCTCGCTGTGCTTGCACACCCCTTAGTGTGCCTGTACAGAACTTCATACCCCACAGTCCCTTAGTACAGGCCTGTGGTAAGCTGAATTAGAGAATACATATAACCTCCACCTCAAAAAATAAATAAAATAAAAACTTACGTTTTTTTCCTGCCAAATTTGTTCCCTGATCTGATTCACTACATGATAGTATAAACAATGGTTCTGGCACGCTGAAAAGGGCAGTACAGGGCAGGGATGAGGAGGGATGGCTGAGGCAGGCTAAGCAACATGGCTCAGGCATCGTTGCAATGATGGAATATATTACTACAGAGCAGACCTGATCCATCTTTCATCTGTGTTGTGAGAATGACGTAGTTATCATCAGAAAGTCTCTCACAAGCCTAATATTTAATTAAAAATACTTTTTTGTTAGTATCCTCCTGTCTGTTAATTCTTGTATGTATGTTTTGTAGATGGCTTCTCTCGGTACTTTTTCCTCTGTCTCCAGCTGAAGTTACAGCATGGCTTCTTCTCTCCTAGGTGATTTTATCGCCTAATCTGCCTACTGAAAATTTACTGAATGTGTTCAGAAATGGTATTCTTCCATTCTCCTTCCACTGTGTTGAGGTCTACCACACTTTCTGTGTCAGAAAAGCATATCAGTGGGGCTGGAAAACAGTCTGTTTAGGTTTGAAGATAGTCTTGCCTGTCCTTACCCTGATACAAGAGATTTAGATAAAGTTATTCAAAGAGAAGATGGGGCAAATTCAATCCCTTCAGACCCATCACCTCACACGTCTCCCCTCTCTGCCCCTGGAGTCTTCCCATTCTCTCCTAAATCTCTTTCTCCCCATGCCCCATTCCTTGTGTTAGAAAACTGACTCCATCTCCTTGCCAAACCATCATGATGCTTCTCAATCTCCTTCCTCTCTTCCAAATACCTTTCCTTTATTCCTGTACCTGCATTTTCTTGTTTCCAAGCTGTGTATGCACTCTTGAGCCCTCCCTTTTTAAACTTCTTTCCTGCTCTTCTTCACTTGCAGTGAGCTACCACCAGATTGCTTCGACAGTGCTATAATTTTTCAAGGACGCCTCTGCTGTCATTGCCTGTTTAGTTGGCCAAAATTATGCTCCATCACTCTTGTTCCGTCCCTGAGAAAGATTCAGCTTCATGGAGACCCTGAATTTGCAATTGTAGAGTTTACTGAGAGAAAATTAAATAGACAGTTGGATTGCAAAACTGTCAATGTAAAGGCAAAACAGCCACATCTGCATAGGACCCTGGGGAAACCTGACTTATCAATTAAAGATGTGGTATTAAAGCATATGAATTGTTGGTTTTCCTTTTTGCATAGGTGTCTTCTGTGTAACTTAAAAGTACTGGGTTGCTTTCCCCTTTGATTTTCATAAATTTTACTGTTAAAACACTGTTGGATTTTATACTCCCTTCCTTCTCACTGTTCAGTATGCTAGAGCGCTGACAATTGCAAAACATTTCATCTGATCTCTAAAAGAGTTTGTGGAACTGCAGGATGGGAAGGCCATCCATGTCTACAGAAGGGAAGCCAGTTTTCCGTGCTTCTTATAGCTGAATGCAGTCCAGACACTAGTTGGATAGTAGAGAAGTGGTAAGTAAGTAAGTAGAACTTACTTTTCAAGCTTTGATCTTGCAAGGAAATTTAATTATTGCAGTCAGTGTTAGAAGTGTATTTGCCTGTCTTACCACCCTATAATAACAGTGTATTTATCTTGGAGTAATTAGATTGGAAGCTGAAATGGTCTTAAAGTAATTAAGCCTTGTTCTTCTACAAATAACTAAGTAGTGTCTTCTCAATGTCCTGAAAAAGTAGTCTTTATTTCCTGGAATGCTGTGTGCTCAAACCACAGTAGAGCAATTTTTTCCTTGCTACAGGAATTCCAGTCCCTTCCTGTGGAATAAAACTATATTAATTTCGGTTCTTCTGTGGTTGTAAGGTGTGTGACAAAACGTGTGCAAAAAGATGCTGCCCACGAGATGGCATTTGCATATTACATCCCTGCTGTATTTATTTCAGGAAGGTTAATCAACAAGAGAATTAGCTATCACATTTTGATTACTTGTGAGATCAGTAAATTTGTATGCCAGCTGTATTGTTAAAAAGAAATGGATCTGTTCTACAGAAAAGTAGGTTAATCTAATGATCATTTTCTCATTTTGGGTGCTACAGTATTTTGTGTCTCTCTGAAAACATGAGCTGAAACCCCATTCTTTCCTTGATGAATTTAAAAGAAAGTAACTGCAAGCATTACAACTATACAAGCACAAAGTATCTGGATTAGATAGCTTGTGATACAAACGCTAAAGGAATATTTTTTTTTAAGAACTTACTAGTTTTCAAATGTTCTAACTTACCTTTATATTGTCTTTAGTCAGTAATCTATGTAAGCTTAATAGAAAATTGTATGTGAAGATGCAACTCAAGTGTTTGATGGCAAGAATGTACTATTAGAATTTAATAACACCTATTTCTAATGCTAATTATATTTCCAAAAGTATCAATATGCAAAATAAATCTGAGATAAGCATAAAAAGGTAATGTCCTCTTCATTTTGCTTTATTACAGTCAGAGACTAGAAATGAAAGCACAAGTTGCAGACGCATTCATAGCAAAATTCCAACTGACACCGGATGAAATGAACCTCCTTCGAGGCACAAAAGATGAGCCAATTACTGAGGTAGCTCAATGAACATTAGAAGCTTTGTCCTGAACTAAAATGTAGAAGTGTCCTAGCTGAATTGTACATGAGATCTTATTACCAGTTTGTAATTTAATTTTTTATGGAGGAATGTACCGTTTAACAGAATGGTGAATTTCTGATGAGTTTGAAATGTGTGATGAAAGATTCAAGTAACAAGAACGAAAATCAACATTAAATTCTAGTTTGTGTAATGAGTTTAAGGGGCAAATGAGCTATTGTGCGGTTCTACACTTAAAAAAGATCTTTATGAAGTCTGAATTTTTAGTGAAGATGTTTTAAAACTTCATCACACTCAAATAAAGCAAATGAGAAATTTGCAGCGCTTCAGTAATATGTAGTACTACCCTTGTGCATGTGTGTGTACATTTTGCATATGCATGTATATAGGTATTCAGTGACTTGAAACAATATAAGCTGAGACTTTCCTTCATTATTATTTGGTTGATGAAGATAGTAGGTGCTGATTCACTTTTAGCTACCTTCCAAAACAAGTTTTCGGATATGTTTATGGTTTGAATAAGAAGGCATATTGTTCTGCAGTAAAAGAAAACTGAATAATGAGAGAATTGAGTACACTTACTAGATTTTTATTATTGTAGTTGCATAGAAACCTTTCCTTAAATGTAGACTACCTGCGGAGACATACTGTCTTGTTTCCACAGGCATCCTGTTTGCAGTTAAAGCATTATTAAAGACATGGAACAGATAACCATAAACAGTGCTAATGAAACCATAAATGGAATGTGTTAAATGATTGTGCACTTGACTAATTGCTGTATGCTTTTGTACCAACTATTACCATGAAAGAACATTCAGGTTTCTAAAAACCACGTGTTGCAGGGAATGATGACAGCAGTGCCGTGCCATTTATTCAGTGCTTGGTTTGCAGCAGAACGAGGATTAGTCCTTTTGATACTTTGATCTGCCCAAAAAATGTGCCGAAGTAACTGAGATATAATCATAGTTGTGCTACTGAAATGGCAGACTTCAGTAAAATCATGTGTGTGCTTTTCCCTTATGATAGAATCAACCACTGTGCTTAAAACATTTTTAGTCAGGTTTCTGTTTTGGCATTTTTTTAATGTTTTTTTTCCCTGAAGGAAGAGTGATTTGGTTTGTATAAACATGATCTTCAACACAGTTGATGCAAGGCAGTAGGTTAAATCAGTGTCCTACTTCACTTAGAATATGGTTTTTTTTTTTGACTTGAGCCAGAATGAAACTATACTTTCCTGAGGCAAACTGTGTTCAAGTCACAAAAGATGTAACAAACAGCTTTATCTGAATTCGCTAGTCTCCTCCATGATGCTTGAAAGGTCAACTTCATAATAAGACGTGTTTGAAAGTGGATTTCCATTTGCTTTCTAAAACGGTAACAAAATAACCTTTTTGACCATATGTCCATGTCTTCTAGGGTTTTTTTTTCTTCACTGCTGCTGCTGAGTTATTTGCGGGGCGGAAAGATTGTCCTGGAAAACCTTGGTCTAGTCTATTGCAAATGTTTGATTTTTCTTAGAAATTGTTACCCCATTATATGAAAACAAAAAATATCAACCTGCAATCATTGTACTTTATAATGTTTCAGTTTGCTCTCTAGTTGCTAATGTTAATGGGGAGAAGATGATGGAATGCGTAGTAATGTCCTCAAAATCTCCCCAACGTTACTTAACTAATAAATGTAAAACACACATACGCTACATAAAAGACAGGTTAAAAACACATCTTTGCTGCTTTCTTTTTTTTTTTTTTTTTTTGTGAAAGAAGGGTGTGATGCAATGGGAAAGAAAAAAGTCCTAAGGCTATTAAGGTGAAATGAAAGGTGAGAGGTGGTGGAGGGGACCTTGTATTTTAAAAGCAGCACTTGCAACACAGACCTGTGAGGAACATAAATATGGAATTGAAATGGGGAGTACAGAGTGTTAGAGATTTGAATGAGAAGTTACTGCTTTTAAACACTTCCTTTCCCCCCCCCCGTTGATTTAGGATTTTTTCAAGGCTTTAGGAAGAGTAAAGCAAATTCACGATGATGTCAAGATTCTCCTCCGGACAAATCAGCAAAGGGCAGGGTGAGTGCTACTTAAATGAGTGCAAGATAACCATGTACTCATTAAAAGCAGAAGTTACAGCAAGGTCTCATTCTTTCCTTCATATGACTATACAGAGTATTTCACATAAAAACAAAGAATAGTAACATATTTCTAAATTTTCATAATTTTAATAATGGTATGTTTTATTTGATTTGTACATGCCTTTGCTAGTACTACCAAAAATAGTATTTGCAAATAAAATCTTTTTGTCTTGTAGCTTGGAAATTATGGAACAGATGGCTTTACTGCAAGAGACATCTTATGAACGACTTTACAGATGGACTCAGAGTAGGACTAAGAATGTTTTTATGTTTATGAATATTATTATGATGATTCCTTTAATTCCTTGACGTGAATTGAACTCAGCAAAAACCCTTTCCAAGATTCATTAACAAGGCTTTGGGTTTCCTTCTTAGTGAAGGGTTTGTGTAAAAGCTAGCTTTTGTGAACCAAATAGTTAATTGGAGATTCCCTTGGTTTTTGGGCCTCTCTCATCTCTGTTTGTAAAACTGTAGCATTTATTTGTATTTTCAGATGGTTTTCCACAGAGAACAACAGCTACAGTTTGATAGTCTAAACAAATTGTGAAGTGTATTGCATTTCATTTTCTTGGAGGTCACAGGGAAGTTCTTGTTTTTGACAGTTTGGTAGTAAGATCTAGTTTAGGGTGAGGAGTGGCTTATTACCTTTAAATAAAGGAAAAAAAAAAAAGCCTTTTTATCATAATGCTCTTTTGAATGATAGTAGGCGATTTTTTTTTTGCATATGTACTCTGGATCCAAGCATCAGTGTTCGATGTAAAATCTTGATAGTATAAAACAAGGATGCTTTTGTATTACTTCTCTCTTCTCCCAAGACATTGTCAGGAAGATTTGTGAAAAAAAGCTGCTGCAATGCGATATTATATTCGTTAGCTGTTCTTCAGTGGATGCTGAAGCCTCAAATAATGGTTGTGGTTTCACCCTAATGAAAATTCATCATTTTTATGCCAGTGTTTGATTTAGTTTATATGATTTCCACATTTGTGCATGGAATATACAAGATTGTATAGTTAATGGGATTAAAGTAAAAACAAAAACCAAAAGAAACAAAAAACCCAAACAAACCCACAGCTTGCTTAAATACTTGCTTGCTTTTTTCTTAGTAGTTTACCTGAAGTGTGGTAAACAGTTATAAAGGAGCCTCACAGAATTCTGATGATTGAATGATTTAACATTTGTACGTGGGCGCAACCAGATACTAAGCTTCCTTTAATTTTTATTATTGTTGAGATTTGTGATGGACATCCATTTTACAGTGAAGTGCTGCTTATGGGGGAAGTTAATTACATTAACACGAGCTAGGCCAGGTAGCATATTCTGAAGGCTTCAATTCAAAATCAAAACCCTTTTGAGTTTTTGACTCATTTTCTTATTTGACAGCTTGTTATAAAAGGTAGTACAGTGTAAACAATACACTTTTGTCTGTGCTGATATTTTACAGATGAATGCAGGACTTTGACACAAGAGTCATGTGACATTTCTCCAGTTCTCGCTCAAGCCATGGAAGCCTTACAAGATAGGCCTGTCCTGTATAAGTAAGTAAACGTTCGTGATTATCTCGAACAGAAATGAGTATTTGCAGCCTATGAGATTTAAAGATGGGCATGAGTTACAGTGCCAAGGATGGTGGCAATTTAATCTTGTGTCAGATTTAAAAAAACAAACAAACACATTTCAACTTCATTAAATTTCAGAAGTCTTTTTGACATAATTAGGGTACAGTAAATGTCATTGGACTTTTTCCAACATACTGGTTTCTAATTCAAATAAAACTCAGACTGTTTTTATTTTAATCTAAGTGAATTGTGAATTTCTGCTGCTCTTGTAGGGTTTTTCTGAAGAAAAAAATGCTGTCCAAAGCATGTGATTGTGTCATTTAAATTCCCAAAGTAAAAAATTGATAAAGGCTAATTAGCTTTTATTGAAGTGCTCCTGATAGTAAGAATGTCTTCCATTATGAGTTGTACAATCATCTATTAAAAACAATCTACTACATATGGGCCTCTAAAGCGTAGGGGTACTTTTATATATATATATATATATATATATGTAAAATATACTACTCTCTAGTTCTTGTTCAGAATTTGCTGAAGGGAACTGATTAACGTAAATGAAATGGTAGTTAGTAGAGGCAACTTAACCACGAGGTGGCACTGTAAGAACTGTTTTTATTGGGGTGGCCATACCCGAAGAAGTGGTACTTCTACTTCTTTGCTTTTTAGGCTTTTTTGAAAAATGCATTCATCACATTTTGCAACTATTGCAAATTACTTTTAGCCACAGGTATCCAGGACAGCAGAGTGCTAGACAGTCTTTCAAAGGCTAGTCTTGTCTTTGAGAGTGTCAGATGTGCGAAGGCGGGGGTATGTGACACTGTAAATCTCCATGGAGTGATTCCCGGGGAAATGCATAGTGCAGGTGGACCTTAAAAGTTCTGTCAGTATGAGAGAGAGTGCACATATCAACATGCTCAGTCAGTTCTGCTAGTTAATTTGAGGGAGAGATGGTGTCACTCGACCTCCCCAGCTATTGCGTGTGGTGCACTGCAGTACATTGGGCTGGGGATTGCAGTCCTTTCTTGCATTCTCTCCTCCAGGCCCTCTTTCACAGCTGCGAAAGATCAGTCGCAACTGTGTTCGCAACATTTTATGGGATTCTTTATAGATACAGTTTATATTTTCTGTAATAAATATTTTGTTAAATTGTGTTACTTTCAAACGTCATAAAACCATTGTTTTGCTTTCTCAACATTTATGGAAAAACCTCCATCTTCTGTATAAACCCACAGCTGGCCAGTTTAAAATGAATCTGCAAAAGAGACTTTATTTGTCTTCTGACATCTCTCTCGCAAACAGCAGTACTAGTATTACCAAAGGTAGAACTTGGTAGGTAGGACTTTTCTTCTGCCAAAAAGGTGAGAGTAAACATTACTGTAGAAACAGCCATATGTGTCTCATCATAGATTATCATGCTTAACTATTTGCTACAGCAATATTGTCAAAATTGCAGTACTGGTGCTTTACATTTTAAACCTGAAGATTTAGTTTATTCCCTTCCAAAAATTTTTGTGTACCTTTAGTACATAACAAACTGCTGAGTTCAAAATGTAAAAATTATGTCATAGAAGAAAGTAATTTTAAATTGTTGGTTTTATGCATATAAGCACTGCTGTGTGAACTAAACACTTTTCCTCCAAATCACTGCCCTTGCATCTAAAAAAGGTTGTGATTTGATTGGGTGAAAGATAGTAAGATGGGGAAGGGCAGGAGTTTAGAAATGAAAGTACAAATTCTTGTTTTCTTACATTCACTTATGTCTTGTTAACTTAAGGTGGCAGAAAGATTGGACCATGGATGGACTTTTGGGAACTGCAGTCAGTAGGGATCTGAAATAAACATTTCAGTTTGGTTTTCACTTCCTGGTTCTAACAGAAAAATTGAAAACTCTTTCATAGAAAATAAATGGAGTCATAGCTCAAGGCAGTGTTCATCTTCCAGTCTCCACTCTGATTTTCAGAGCATTTTCTCCACCTCCTTCCTCTCCCTGCAGTGATCATTACTTTACTGGGTTTTTAAAAAATTGAAGCTGGGTTGAAAAGAATCCAAATGTTGTTTTCTTCCCCTAACATGAGTACGTGTAATAACGTAGTAGTAAATACTGTGTTTCTAGTGTAAATAATAGTTATTACTGAATTTTTTTAAGATGCAGGATTTTGTTATAGTTGTACCCTGTTCCACTGAGAGCAAAAGAAAAATTAGTAGTTTTCTTTTTCTTAAAACAAAATTATCATTATTAAATCCTGTTTTCTAAACTAATAACAAGATCAAAAGATCTGTTTTGTGGCTGTATTTTTAATGATCTATTATATAGTTGTTTATTGGAGGGGGGAAGAAGAAAGGCTTATCTGGTTTCTACAAACACTTGAGATTTTTTCACTGCAACGCTGCTACTGCTAAACTGTAGGTAGTTAGCAGATCTCTCCCACTTTTAACTGTGTAATTTTTGTATTGTAAATAGTAATTTATTAAAGACTTTTTTCATTAGCCTTTTTTTTTTTAAAATTGCAGATATTTACTCTCCGAGTTAACAAGTACGGTGTATGAAGAAAAAGATTTAAACAGAAATTTCAGGATTCTTCAGTGTGCTTCCCCCCCCCCGCCCCCCAAATAGTAATGTAGATAGAAAAGAACAAAACTGAAGGATCCCTTGGACTTTTTATAGCATAATAGAAATCTAATTGAACTTAATTTGGAACATATTTGAAACATTATATTATTTTCTTTTGTATTTTGTTCTCCACATCTGTTTAATTGTGAATGCAGTACTCATTTAACTTCACTCAGTAACGTGCTTTTTATTATTATTATTTTTATATCTGTTCAGCTGCTGTGTGTCATTGGTAAGTGACACCATGCTTACTCTTTGGCATTTCTTCAGTTATACTAGAAAAATAAACTGTCGTGTGTTTTTTTTCTTTTTCTCCTTTGTAATTTGTGTGCTTTGTTCAAAATGCTTAAATTCAGTTTTTCAAAAAAATAGAAGTGTTCCATGGCTTGCAAAAATCCTGTTTGTAAGCAGATGTAACAGGGATGTTAGCAGTGTTCATTTCCCATTCTTCACTTGCTGGCATCCTTCAGCCTGAACAGGAAGGTAGCCTGCTCCAAAAATGAGCCATGTGTATGTTCTTGGTACCTCCTCTACTACCAGCAAGCCATTTGAGATTATGCCCTCTGGGCTGTAATTGTCCATCCATTAAATATCTAACTAAGACTCATTTGATTAAAACCAGTGAACAACTATCTAATGGAAATAATTTTTTTGCTACTAATCATGTGGTGGCCTAGAAGAAGAAGAAGGAGAAAGCCGTGTGTTGCAGTGCAGTAAGTTGCTGCTCTGTCAGTCAACTGGACCACATGTGAACAGGAGTACTAGACCTGTCAATACATGCTTATATATACAAAAATGGAAAAGCTGATTTTTCATTTATTTATTTGTGTGGGGTAGGGGATTGGGAGGGTCAAGGAAAAATTATCTTTAGTATCTGTTTAGACGAGTCAAGAAAATCAGAAGGTTTTGAATTCTTCACAGTAGAAGCATTGATGCAAGGTTTCTAGAACTATAAAAACGGTTACTCATATTAACTGTAAAGTTGAGGTAATAAACTGTGATGAGGTGAACTGTTTTGTTTTACCCTTTTTCATGTTTCAATAACAGGTACACTTTGGATGAGTTTGGAACAGCTAGGAGGAGTGCTGTAGTCCGTGGCTTTATAGATGCTCTTACTAGAGGAGGTCTGGGAGGTACTCCCCGCCCTATTGAAATGCACTCCCATGATCCTCTGAGGTACAGTACTAGTGAGAATGTATATGAAATAATCCTTCTTTTGCCTGTTGGCACTTTGAATCCCCGATACCATAAACTGCTGATTTACACAGAATTTTCTGTCTTTATTTAGGTACGTAGGAGACATGCTGGCCTGGTTGCATCAAGCTACAGCTTCCGAAAAAGAACACCTAGAAGCTATGTTAAAGCTTGTAACTATTCAAGGTAGTACTAGATTTTAAAACATAAATTGGGAAGTGATAGAAAGTAAGTCTGTGATAAGTCAGAAAGTGTGATTAATTTCTTAGGCTGGGCTTCAGTTATGAGGGTCTGAGCTTAGATTTTCCTGGAAGTAATTTCAGAATAGCTGGTGGTTGCATTTTGCCAGAAGAAAGCCCTTTATGAAGAAGAGTATTTCAAAATGCACTCTTTTCATTTTACTGTGCTTATAATAGATTTACACTAAATTTACAACGGGACATTTTAGACTGTAGCTGAGAGTTCAAAAATTATCTCTAATGTATATGAATACATACCTCTCTGAAAACATTGTCATAGGGTTGTTTATTGATATGTTGAGGATTCCTGTTGTGCCTTGTTCATTTGTTTAGTAAATTTTTAAAATATAATTCCTTCTTCCTAGAAGTCTCTTCCTTCTATGCTACAAGTAAAATGGAATTTTCCTCTGTCGTGTAACATATCATTATAGGTTTACGGAGGTCAAAGGAGGCCGCTCATAGACACATGAAGCTTTTTAATATCGAAGCTCTCCTTTATTAACAGAACTACAGATTCTCATGCTTATTCTTCAGCCCTTTTGCTCTCTTTTAAGTACATTGGACCTATACTTTTAAGACCTTTGTCCTGTAGAAGCTGTAGTATGATTTGCCTCCACAGCTTCAGCCAAAGACTTGTTTAATAAATTAAGCATGTATTGTAACAGAACTGACGTTTGATCTGTATCTGGTGAGCTCTTCAGACTGTGTGACTTAATTGAGTTTTGCTCTGGGATTTAAAGGTAATACGCATTCTCATTTTCCTTGCTGCTGGAAATATTAATTGGCTTTCCTGATTAACGGTGTATAAGCAAGGAGGCTGTTTAGGAACTGTTGTAAATCAAACCGAAGGAATGTTGTTGTTTTTTAACTACAGTTACAGTGTACCATAGAAGTGAATTTAATATTATTTACTGACAGTATCTCAGGGTGACAGGAAAGCAGACCTCATGATGGTTGTATGGTAGAGAAAAAGACATGGCAATTCTTTGTAGATGACTATCTGATGCTTCTGCTGTAATTGGAGAGTCCTTCAGGAAAAGCTGGCCACATGGAGGATGTTACTGTATCTGGTTCTGCTGTTGACTGTGCTACTGCTGCTGCCCAGGCCTGCATTCTGTTCTGAAATTCTCCCACCTCTTCGTGCAGTGTTTTATTTAACTATTAAATCCCTTGGCCTTCTGGCAGAAAGTCAGGCTGAGATGCAGTGATCACATAATTAGATATATTTAGAGCATTTTAGCCATAGATCAGAGTAACCTAATTGAGAATATAGAGAATATAAATGTTTTGGGGAAAAAATTTCCAGAAAAATCACCAGGCCAAAACTTTTTTCCCCAAGAGACTAGTATAAACAAGAGATTCAATATTTCTGTCTGAAGCAAAAATACATTTTCCTAAACTCTCCAGGAATGGGTTTGCCATCACTGTTGTGCAGTTTTCAAGAAATGTAAAGAGGGATTCTTAGCTTCATACTGGGAGCAACAAAGCCTGGGAGATGCTGTCCGTTAACTTTTCCTCTGCATCTTTGGGAAATTTTTTTGATGACAAGGATGGTTATGTAATAAGATCTGTAAGATGAAACAGTACTTAATGGGATACCACTGGGTTTAACAAGAATAATTTATGGGAAGTGCAGCCTTATGAAGTACCTTGAGATTATATCCTTTATATAAATACAGATCCTGAGTTGGTAGTGACTAATCAGTGAGTACAGTGTCTGTGGTACAGAGAGATTCAAGCTGAATTCCCTGTACTATCGTACAGTCTTCAGGTGTCTGATTGCGCAGGCTACAGCAGAGGTTGAGTTAATTTCACTTAGCCATTTAGAAAGTGGACATCTTGTTTATTTGCAGTTATAGACAATGACAGAGATTTGCATTTCCAGAGGGCAAGTCTTCCCAAGAAAAGTTAGTTCTGATGTAGGTATTTCTGGATACTTTAATCACAACTGTTTGAGTTTTTTTCTGTTCCTTATAGAGGAAGCCCAAGCAACTAGTACAGATAAGACACCTAACTGGGTCTGAAGTTAGGTGAGATGGATTTTTCCCTCCAATAGGTCAGTCAAATGTTTTAATTTCAACTTGAGTAGCTTTTTGAAGATGGAATTAGTAC